ACACACACACACACACACACACACACACACACACACACACACACACAGAGGTCTGTTATGATAAGGGGCACCTGGTAGCAATTACTGAGACAGGTTTAGCGACCTTTCCAAACTTCCTGTTCTGTTTGTTCACTGATGTATCCCCGTATCCCCAGTACTTAGAAAACATGAAATAGTACGTGAAGCAGATGCTTGTGTGGCACGAATCTCACATAATTGCCGTCTCACCGGATGCTGCAGTTTGGACTGAGGCCTGCTTTCCCCGCTGCAGACGCAGCGGTTGTGGCTGTCAGTGCTCCCATGCTCTCCCCTGTTGTGTACCATCCTAATGCAGCTCGAGGGGAGAGTCTAAGGATGCTTGTCCCTCCGTACCTCCTGCTGGGTCTTCCCCTCTGAGCTGAGCCTCATTTCTGCATGTGATATTATTGGATTCAGCTCTTGATGTGCTGATCTTGGGTAACAAAATACAAATACTTATTTTCATTTCAAGACAGTCTGGATTCTCTTTTTATGTGCATTCTTATACATCTGGGGCAGCCCACATCCTTCCACCCTCTGTGTATTTCTTTAGGTGGACCTAACATGTAGCATTTTTCCCTAGGTTCAGGGTCGGAGGGCGAGGACAGCTTCCAGGTAGAGTTGGAGCTAGTAGAGTTGACCGTGGGGACCCTGGATCTTCGTGAGTTTGAGGTACTGCCAAAGCGGAGGAGGAGGAAAAGGAATAAGAAGGAGAGAAGCCGAGACCTGGAAGCCTGGGCGCATGGGACTCTTCCCCAGCAACCTCAAGGAGATGATGAGGCCTTGTCACAGTCTGCCCAGGCACACGCAGCCCCTTTGGGGCCTTCCCTGGATGAGGCCAAGACCCCTGATCAGTCAGAGCTCTGGGACATGCTTCTAGCTGCTTGTCGAGCCGGAGATGTTGGGATGTTGAAACTCCAGCTAGCTGCCGGCCCCATAGGCCCTGGAGTTCTGTCTCTGCTCAGTGCCCCCTTGGGCTCCAGTGGTTTCACCCTCCTACATGCAGCAGCTGCAGCTGGGAGAGGTTCAGTGGTTCGCCTGCTGCTGGAGGCAGGTGCCGACCCTACCGTGCAGTAAGTAAGGGTCCCCAAGCCGAGTGAGCCCTTTGGGGTATAGAGAGGACCATCTGGAGGCTAACGTTGGTCCTGGCTACTTGACGGTATTCCCCTCGATCTGCTTGGGTGAGGCTGGGAGATGCAGGAGGCAAGCTAAACCCATATTTGGGGCTTTTCGCACCTAGGGATTCCCGGGCCCGGCCACCGTATACGGTTGCAGCTGACAGGTCAACACGTAATGAGTTCCGAAGGTTCATGGAGAAGAATCCAGATGCTTACGATTACAGCAAGGCTCAGGTCAGCTGGAAAAAGAAGCGGCAGCAGAGTAGGAAGGCAGCCTAGATCCTGGCTACGATCTTTTCTACTTTCTTCTAGTTCTCCCAAGGACAGTTATGTATGGGTCTTAGCTTACACCTCCCCGGAAATCCCCCAGGTGCCAGGGCCACTGACGCCAGAAATGGAGGCACGGCAGGCTATGCGGAAAAGGGAGCAGAAGGCTGCCCGGCGGCAGCGGGATGGGCGGCAGCAGAAGCGGTGGGAGCAGGACGAGGAGCACCAAGAGGCGCGGCGCTTTGCCGCCCTCAGCGACCGAGAGAAGGTGAGGCCGGAGCTTCTCTATTCCGCAGCCCCGACTTCCTGAGGGGTCTGACCCCTTCCCAGCGTGCAGCTGTCCCTTCTTGGGCACCCTGTCCGCCACCGGGGCCTTGTCCTTAACAAGACTTCTCTTTCCCTCAGAGGGCTCTGGCCGCAGAGCGCCGGCTGGCTGCCCAGCTGGGAGCGCCCACCCCCCAGGCCCCCGGCTCTGCAGCCATCAGTGGTCCGTAAGTGCAGGGGCAGGCGTGATGGCCAGGCCAGGCGTGGGCAAGTAGAATGAGTGTTGCCGAGTACCTCAGAAAGGCTGTTGGGGCTGGGGGGTGCTGGAGATGTTCTGGAAACCCTCTGGAGCAAAACCGGAAATGGCCCGAGGGGTGGGGAGAGCTTGGATTGGAAAGGTTCTGGGGTACCTGTTCAGCCATCTGTCTTCCTCTTGTGCAGACGCTGCTGGAGCTGTGGGACATCCCTCCAAGGCCTCACTCCCTTTCACTATCTTGACTTCTCTTTCTGCTCCACACGCTGTCTCCGGGATCACCGCTGCCAGGCCGCCAAGCCCTCTTCCTGATCTCTTACGGCTGCACCTGGAGCCAACTCGGCCCGGAGAGGGTGCATTCACACTAGCCCTAGGTTTCTTCTTTCCCGTGAAACAGGAGTATTTGGAAGATCAGAAAGGACACTCAGGAACCAGGGCAAAGACAGGGCCACAGAGGGGTGCGGAGCTGGGACTATCTCTGGAACTTTAATCACAATAAAGTTTGGCAAGGAAACTGCACTTAGACTTGCATTTGGGCCTTGTGGCCTTTGGTTCCTCGTGGTCACCATGGCCAGCACGAAGGGATCCTGCCCACTCCATGTCCCAGGTCCAAGGGTTACCTTTCTTTCAGTGCCCACTTAACTCCATTGGTTCAAAGGCACTTTGTGTATCAGCCAAGAGGGAATAGACGTATGTCTTATGCAAGGTGCTGTTGAGGATAGGCCTATCCAGAAACTGGATTTGGGGCCGAGGAGGCACGTTTTCCAGCTCCAGCACTGTGATTTTGTTGAGGGCTCCCCTATAAAACAGCAGGGGTCTTGGCACATAGAGGGTCTCTTGTGGCCCCCGCTTTGTCCAGTACCGGCCCAAGTTAAACCCATTGATCCAGACTTGGCCCTGGGGAAGAGAAAAGAGAACGAAAATAAAAGGGTCAGCTCTCAAGGGGGTAGAATCATCCCCTTTTGGGTTTCTTTCTTTTTTTCTTTTTTTTTTTTTAAAGACTTATTTATTAGAGAGAGAGAGTGCAGGGGGGAGGGGCAGCAGGCGAGGGAAAGAGAATCCCAAGCAGACTCCACATGCTGAGCGTGGAGCTTGATGCGGCACGACCCCAAGATCACAACCTGAGCCGAAATCAAGAGTCAGATGCTCAACCGACTGAGCCACCCAGGAGCCCCTCCCTTTTGGGTTTCTAATCAGGGATAATTTCTGCTCCCCCCTCCTTCACGATTTTCCTTTCATCACTCTGACCCCACAGTCAGCAGTACCTTGGTCCATCCAGGTAGAAAGAGAAAAGTGTCCCCGCCTTCTCCTAAAATTTGAAACGTTGTAGAGTAGAAGGTGGGGCCAGAGGGAACTTGATGACGTGACCTTTTCATCAACTGGAGGGGAAACCACCACTTTACAAGCTTATCAACTTTCAGAGGGAACATCAGCCACTGGGTAAGGACTGTTTGCCCCAGAATTGGGGGTTCTAACAGGCCCTGTGAAGAAGGCAAATGAAAACTTATCATTCATTAAGCTCTTAAATCCACACTATCCCTAATCAAGCCCTGGGGTGCAACTGGTGGCCATGTCTGGACCCCCACAAGCGACTACTTTGCTGCCTGACTCCTAAGCACAGGGCTCTTGTTTGTCCTCCATTAGGCCCCTATTTTCCCAAGGGAGTTTGGTCAGTAAGAGTCTGGAAGAGAAGGGGTGGGCAAGGCTAGCTCACCTTGAAGTCACTGCTGTTAGACCCGAAACTGAGCCTCCCCATGTTCTCCAGTAAGATGTCCACTTTGGCCCCTACTTTCCCCATCAAAAATAGTTGGTGTTTCATGTTTCGTTCCAGAACACCCTGAAACACCTGTGGATAAGAGGAGCTGTGAAAGGAAGGGCTCGGCATCTAACTCATGGCCATGACAGAGGAAGCTATGGTAGTTAGCACATGTATTTGGAGAGCAAATAGAATGTAGCCCATCTGTCAGTTACCCATTCATTCTGGAACCTTAGCCTCAGTCAAATTCTTCCTCATCCCAGCTCATCCGTGGCCCCCCTGCAAATGTGGGCAGACAGCGGGAAAAGGCAGATAAGGGGAACTTAAGGCTAAAGGGTGCTGGGGAGGAGAAGAAACAGGCTCACAAGGTAGCCTGGAATTAGGTCCTTACCCCATCTACCATCACATAGGCACGGTCATGTACTCTGTTGTTAGGCACCCAGAACTGTGTTGGCTCCGAAACAGTAGAAGTCAGATGGGTCCGGTACAACACAAAGCCACGGTCCTGGGTATGGAAGAGTGAGTACTGAAGAGGAACTGAGCGGTGAGAGAGGGTACTGTGGCGAAGATGCGCAGCTGAGGGAACCACTGGCAACAGCTGTTGAGGAAAGCTGCCACGCCTACTGGATGGGGGATTATGCCTTACCTGTTTGACAGCCTCAAAGGACATTGGCAAGATTGAACGGATGGGCCCTTGGGGGCACAGGAAGTCTAGGAAAGCCAGCAAATCCCCATCCTGTTAGAATAAGGAGAAGGTATTAGAATAAAAGCGAAGTTCCGGAATAAAGGGCAGAATAGGCTGGGCCATTTAGAGAACAAAGGGGTAGGATCAGAGAAAAGATGAGGAAGAGCTTACCAGATGCAGGGTCAAAGGTCCAAACATCATCTTGGGGCTGGGGGGAGGTAAAGGTCCCAAGGGAATTTCCTGGAACTGAGCCCAAATTCTCTCAGGAGCCATAGGAAAACCACACAACCCCTATTCCAAGACCCTAGCACACATATAACCCCTATTCCAAGACCCTAGCACACACACAACCCCTATTCCAAGACCCTAGCACACACACAACCCCTATTCCAAGACCCTAGCACACACACAACCCCTATTCTAAAACCCTAGCACACACAACCCCAATTCCAAGACCCTTGCGCAGGATTCTCAACCTGGGGTCCAGGGAAGGACTTCAAGAGGTCATGAAAATCCTGTAATTTTGCACATGCTTGTGTGTCTCTTCCCAGGTAGTCCCATCTGGGTAGTTGGGAAATGGTTCTGAGGGCTCCGTGGCCCAGACAACAATCAGTGATTCATGGGATCCCGTTACAAACAATTTAGGTACTCCCTTTCCCCAAATTAATAAAAGCCTTTGGCGCTTAATGAAGTGGTAGGGCACCTCGCTGATGACGTTTCGAAGAGCAAAAAGCTTAGGTGTGGGGTCCCCCGCTTCAGATATTGGTGCATCGTAGTCATAGCTGGTAGTAATTGGAAGAAAGCGTCCCTTCTCATCAGCACCTGGGGTCAAACCAATTTCCTTCATTCAGTGTCTTTCAAACAATAGGCACTAAGCAAAGACATTCATGCAGAGAATTTTGCCATCAGAGGGAGCAGTGGTGGCCACATCCAGCTTCTAGACCTCCTAATCTACCCAGCCCTAGGATTCTAATTCCCTGATGCCTCCCTGCCTCCACCCCAGGGACCATCTGGACTCACCATTCCAGAATCCAAAGTTGGTACCCCCGTGAAACATGTACCTGAAGTGGGGGAAGGTGGGGGGGGAAAGGCAAAAGCTGACCCACTGAGTCATTTTCATCCCCAACACCCCGTTACGGCTTCATGTTGACCCCCGTGTCTCCAGTTACATGTTCACACTGGCTCCCAGCTTCAGCATGTTCTCTAGGCCTGTGGTCACAGCCAACACGGACCGTGTGGAGTGACTCTGGCCCCAGTAGTCCAGCCAGCCTGTGTAGTACTCGGAGTTCACCTAAAACGTGGAATGAACGCCGGGAGCGGGATGGGAACTGAGCTCGACCCGTTCCCAACCCTGACTCTGGCTTTGATTGCCCTCCCCTCCAGCTCCTCACCAGTGGCCCACGGGGTTCATACTTCCGCAGCAAGGCAAAGATTTTGGTCATGTTGTCAGCTGCAGAAAGGAGGCAAAGGTGAAAGATAAACATAGAAGAAGAGATGCCCCCACCCCCTTCCCCAGACTCCACTCCACCCTTGCTCAAGAGACCTGGGCCAAAATCCACAGTGGTATAGAGTCCCTGGAGGGAGCCACATTTGAGTCCTTCAGGCCCATCTGTGGTGAAGAGCAAGATCCTGTCTCCTAGCAGCGCACGGAAGAGCCCAGCCAGGTGCCTCATGTAGCTGAAGTCACAGGCTCTGTAGCTACCATATTCATTCTCCACCTGCCAGGGAGAAGGAAAAGTGGAGCTTGGCTATGCAGTGGAGGTTAGGACCCCCGGCGCCTCCTTCCCCTTGCCCGGTCAACTTGTACCTGAATGCTAATGATGTTGCCCCCATTGTGGTAGAGCCATGGATATAACTTGGGCAGCAAGACCTTGAACCAGGAGTCCACTGCAGCAAGAAAGTCTAAAGGAAGGAGCAGTGGTCTACACATTAGGACACCACCTTTGCAGCCCCCACCCATAGCACAAGGCCAGCAACCTCAGCTGCCTGAACCCTGGGCTACAGTTTGCATCCCACTTGTCCACAAATGAATCTGAGCAGCAGTGACTCTGAACCCTGAGCACTTGTGAATTTGCATGGCAAGGACATCCGAGCACAGGAAACCTTAAAGCAGTGTTTGTAAATTTAATTTTTAAACATAAGAAAAATGTTAGGGACGCCTGGGTGGCTCAGTCAGTTAAGCGTCTGCTTTCAGCTCAGGTCATGATCTCAGGGTCCTAGGTTTGAGTCCCGCATCGGGCTCCTTGCTCAGCAGGGAGCCTGCTTCTCCCTCTGCCTGCAGCTCCCCCTGCTTGTGTGCTCTCTCTCTGACATAAATAAATAAAATCTTTAAAAAACAAGAACACTGAATTCCTTTACATTTTGTGTTCTGTATAAAGGGTGTCCAGATTTAACTGCCTCCTTTAATCCAAGCATATGTTAAATCTCATTCAACAAATATTTATGGGTGCTTACTGTACACCAAGCAATGTTCTAGGTATTAGGGATACAGAATAGAAAAAAACAGATAAAAGTCTCTGCCCTTGTGGAATTTCTTTCCCAATGAGGAAGGCAGACAATAAATAAATTGCTAAAATATATAGTATGTTAGTGCCAAGGAGAAAAAATAAAGCAGGGAAGAAGGATATAAAAGGGCGGGGGAGCTTAAATTTTAGAGAGTAGCCCAGGGCAGCCCTCACTGAGAAGGTGATTCTGCAGGAAGCTAGCAGGAGCACTGAGTGCAAAGGCCTCAAAGCTGGAATGTGCCTGGTGGGTTTGAAAAACAGCAATGAGGTCGTTGTGAACAATGATGAAAAGAGTAGAGGTCAGGGAGGTGACAGGGCCAATTAGGTAGGACCTAATATGAAGGCCATTTTAAGGACTACATGGTTCATATTCTGAATGAGATGAGAACCTATTGGAGAGGTTTAAGCAGTGAAATGCCATGATCTGAGATATGTATTTAAACTTCTATTTTAACAGGATCACCCTATATCGAGAACAGAGGGGTAGGGGCAAAGAAGGGAAACCAGTAAGTAAGCTATTAAAGTAGTCCAGGTGGGAGAGGTGGTTTGGATTAGTGAGGGTGATGAAAAGTAGCTGAATTCAATATATTTTGAGAGTAAAGCTGCAAGGTTTTCTGATAGGTTGAATGTGAGGTGGGAGAGAAAGGCATGAAGAATTACACCACAGTGCTTAGCCTGATCAGTTAGAAAATGGAGTCACCATTAACTGAGAGGAGATCGTAGGAATAGCTGGGGGAGTGGCAGGCAGAGGGAGACTAAACCTAACCCTAACCCTGCTGAGCAAGGAGCCCGACGCAGGACTCGATCCCAGGACCCTGAGATCATGACCTGAGCCGAAGGCAGATGCTTAACGGACTGAGCCACCCAGGCATCCCCTGACTGGAGATTCCTATTTCAGAGTCATTAACTATTAGATGGGATTGGATGCCAAGAGAATGGATGAGGTTGTCTAAGGAGTGAACACATAGAAAAGAGAAGCGTCCAAGGACTGAGCCCTGCAACACCCCAGCATTTAGCGGAAAGAGAAAGGGAGAAGAACCAGCATGAGACTAAGAAGGAGGGCGCCTGGGTGGCTCAGTGGGTTAAGTGTCTGCCTTCGGTTCAGGTCATGGTCCCAGGGTCCTGGGACGGAGTCCTGCATTGGGCTTCCTGCTCAGCGGGGAGCCTGTTTCTCCCTCTGCAATCCCACCCCCCTCCCCTGGCCCCTGCTCGTGATCTCTCTCTCTCTCATGCTCTCCCTCCCTGATTCTCTCTCAAATGAATAAATAAAATCTTTAAAACAAACAAAAGAGACTAATAAGGAGTGGTCAGCAAGGCTGGGGCATGGGGAAGGAGCAGGGACCAGATAAAGGTGGTATCTTGGAAGCCAAGAGGAGAGTGTGTGTCAAAAGATGGAGTGAACAGCTGGGCTGGGTGCTCCTGACTGGCCAAGGAGGAGAGAGGCCTGGAAAGGGACTGTGGACTCGGGAGTGAAGAGGTCGCTGGCCTTCTTTTCTTTTCTTTTCTTCTTTCTTTTCTTTCTTTCTTTCTTTCTTTCTTTTTTTTTAGGATTTTATTTATTTATTTGACAGAAAGAGACACAGCGAGAGAGGGAACACAAGCAGGGGGAGTGGGAAAGGGAGTAGCACGCTTCCTGCTGAGCAGGGAGCCCCATGAGGGGCTCGATCCCAGGACGCTGGGATCGTGACCTGAGCTGAAGGCAGACGCTTAACGACTGAGCCACCCAGGCGCCCTGGCTTTCTTGAGAAAAGTGGACACCGCATGCTGGTGTTCCAGCATGACTTTACCATTTCAAATGTATTTCATAGCCAGCTGAGTTGGAGAATTGCTCTGAGGGGCATAAAGCTCTTCAGCGTCCTCAGAAGTGGAAGAGTCCCTGCAGGGTCCCCGGCAGATACAAAGCATTTTTACCAAAGTGATCTTTTTAAAAGATATAAATCAGATAAAATCACTCCCTTGCTCTGATGACTTCCTATTTACACCTGAAGTAAAATCCAAACTCCTTGAAAGTTTTGGGCATTTCAGAGCTTCATCTTGAATTCTCATCTTTTCTCCCCCTATGCTCTCTCCTCAGGCAATGTCTCAATAGCCATGGATCTAAATGCCAGCTTTAGACTGACAAGTCCCAAATTTCTCTCTAGCTCAGACCTCCCCATGAGCGCCACACTCACACAGCCTATGGCTTACTTAACATCCTCACTTGAGTGTGACAGGACAGAAATTTAACGCGACCAGATGAACTGTTCTTCCCCAAAAAAGGTGGTCCTTTGCTGCCCCTAGTCTCCTCCATCTTTCCTATGTCAGTCAATGGTGGCATCGTCTTGACTGGCCAGAAAGGGGACCCCTTTCTTTCCAGACCGTACCCATTGCTGTTCCCCGCCCCCCACCCCTCCTTCCCATCAAAATCTATGAACCAGTCCTGGTGATTTTGATCTCCAACCTACATCTCAATTCTGCCCTCTTCTCATCCCCACCTCCGTCACCTTAGTCCAGGAGCCATCGCTCCCTCCTCAACTACAGTCAGAATCTCCCAATTAGTTTTGCCACCTCCACCCTTGTCCCCCTCCCTCCATTCTCCACATCCAGGCTAAAGTAATCTGAGAACAGATCAAACCTGTCTGGTTAGGCTCTTCCAATGGCTTTCTACTGTGCTTAGAATAAGATGCAAACCCTTACAGTGGCCTACCAGGTCCTGCATGAACAGTCCCTATCTATCTCCAATTTCATGTTACATTCCTCTCTCCCTTAACGGCTATGCTCCAGCCAAGCTGGCCTCAAGCAGGCCATGTTCTTTCCCACCTTTGGGTTTTAGAATATACTGTTCCCTCTACCTGGTCGTTGTCACCTCACTCTTCATATGACCAGCGCTTTCCCTTCCCTAGAGTCAAGTGAAATGTCATCATCTCAGAAAAGCCTTTTCTGGCCTCCGTACCCCAAACAGGCCTTCCCTGTTACTCACGATCTCAACTCGTCTATTTTCATGGGTGGTATTTTTACAGCTTGCGCTAATCTTACAGGTTTTGGTTTTTTAAAAAGCTGTTTCTTTCACCATAAGCTCCACGGCACAGGGGCTGGGTCTGTCTGGTCCCTCAGTTTGTAGCATCTTGCTAGGCCTGATGGAAACACTCAAATATCTGCATGAATGATCTCCAGTGTGGGGATGGTCTCTTCGGTTTTGGGCACCCAAACGACCCATTTTGTTGCTGTTGGTTGTTTTTTCTGTGTTAAAAATGTTATCTCAACTCACCTGGGTCTGAGGTTCTCAGATGTATATCAGGTTTTTGAAGCAACCAGGCTGGGAGACCCCCCTGAGACAAACATAAAGACAGCAGGTTTTGTTGTTCGGGAGTCGGGGAGGGCAGGTAAGAAGGGAGGATGTTGAGTCTAGCACTGGAAGTGGCCCTACAGTGCAGGCAGATGGGAGGAGTGGAGGAACTACCCAGGAGTGGCTCTGGTTCTGTCCCTTCTCCTAACTCACCATGTCCCATTCTGCACAGATGTAAGGTCCTGGTCTCAGTATGACCAACAGGTTCGCTATAGATGCCTCATTCAGAAATGCAAAGAGGTCCCGGCTGCCATTAAAGTTATAGACCCCAGGCTCTGGCTCATGGTAGTTCCAGGGCACATAACTGAGAAAGAAAAAGGTTAGCAGGGCCCCAGGCGGGGAGGTGCTGAGAGGCCTACGGGCTCAGGCCTTGCAGGGAATCTCCAGGAAGCTGTTAGGAGGAGGTCCTGGCCCACCCTTTCCCACCTTTGGCCTGAAAGCCCTGGAGCTCTCATACCCAGCGAGGCTTCCTATCCCAATCCCCTTCTTACGGGCTTGGTAGGAAGGGTAAATCCCGCCCTCCATGGCTCTCCTGAGCACTTCTTACAACTGTACAGTGTTGAGGCCACTCATTCGCATCTTGAAAAGCCGGTCTGCCCAAAGCACCCGCGGTACCCGAAAGTAGTGCAGGCTGCCAGACACGTAGCGGAACGGGGCCCCATCTAGGAGGAATCTGTCATTTTCCCGATCCACTACGAACGACCGAGTGTCTGCCTGCAAAGGGAGAGACCAGGCTCAGCAGAGGTCTGGAGTCGGGGGTAGGGGCGGTCAGTGTCCGGAGAGAAGTGGGAACTAGCCTGCCCATTGTTCTGTGATTTTTCACTTTCCTTCTCTCCCGGGCCAGATCTCCTCCCGCCTCACCACACCCAGCCTGCTGATTCAATCCTGGCATTTTACCTGGGGCAGCAGCGTCAGAAGTGGTAACAGCAGGACAGGAAGGCAGAGCGGCTTCTTGGGAGCCATGGCGCTAACGGGGCTCCTCTAGTCTGAGAGGGCGGTCCGACTGTCACGTGCCAGATTCCTGGGAGGGAAGCTCAGCGAGCAAGGGGGCGGGGACCACCTCAAGTTGCCAGGCCAGTAGCCTGGACTTGTCCACCTGCTACTCTACTAGTTTGTAAAAATCCTCTACATCTTGAATCTGCTTCATCAGCGTCACCTGGGAGCTTTTAGAAATGCAGAGTCTCAGGTCCTACCTCAGACCTATAGGATCAGAATTTGCATTTTAACAAGATTCCCAGGCGATCCTAAAGACTTTCAAGATTGAGAAGCACTGTCCTACTAAACTGAGCTCCCTGAGGGTGAAGAGTACCTTGTCCATCTTGAATCCTCAGCTTCTAGCACAGGGCCGGGCACATAGCAGGTTAAATCTGGGTGAATGAATGTCAGAACCAGGGGGCTAAAACAGGTTCAGAACCAAGAGAAACCAGATCTTCCCAGTGGTGTGAAAGTGGGGGACCAAGTTACAAGAGGGATCTTTCTCCTGGTGGCCCTGTTACAGCAAAAGAGACCACCTCAGCCATTCCTTCTTCTTTGGATGTGCACTGCTCTTCAATCTATCCCTGCCTGCCTGTGTGAGAGATGTCAAGGACAACTACTTGGTGCCAAGGCTTGGGAATTTGTGAATTTCCATGACTCCTGCCTTCACAGTCCCAAGCCTGGGATGTAAGAACCAGAATAAGAAAAATAAAATAGTAATAAAAGTAATAATAATTTGTTTATTGACACTAACTGAGGGTTATGTCAGATATTGTGCTAAGCACTTTACATCTCATTTAATCTTCAAAAAACTCCGTGCAGTTGATAATTATCATTCCCATTTTACAGATGAGGAAATTGAGAGGCAAATTTTGAATAACCTGTTCAAGGTCCCACAACTAATTTAGCAGAGCTGGGATCTGAACTAGGCAGTCTGGCCTCACAGTACGTGCACTTAATCTTAGGTACTATTATACCTTGTTTACAATCAGGGAAACTGAGGCTCTGAGAGGTTAAGTGGTCCAAGGCCACAATGCTAGTAACTAAGCTATTAAGACAGGATTTAGAACCTAATCTGGTTCAAAAGCCTAAGCTCTTAACCATTCTAACTAGGGCAGTGGGATACAGGCCAGAGCCCCCAAGGTTGTATTGATCAGAGCTGTAGGGGGTAGGGGTCCAGGCCGCCAGCACGCGCCCCAGCACCCGCCCCTCGGGGCTGGACTGTAGTCAGCTTCCTACCTCCGGCATTGGGAGATGGAGGTCCTGGGGGCCTCGGGCCGAGCCCGGCTTTGCTCCCCTTTGGCGTGGGTGCCTGCGTCTTGACCACGAAGGCCAGGTGTGGCACCCTCACCCGGGTCCTGGGACCCGTCCTCCCCCAGGCTTAGCCCACCCCCGGCCTCTCAGCTCGGTGCCCCCACATTATCCCGATGCCCAGCGGTTGCTAGGATACCGCGGGCCGTTACGCCGGCGCGGCCTGATGACGTATGCACTTCTTCCGGTCCCCGGCGCTTCTCTCCAGCCCGAGCCAGGTCAGTGGGGAGTCCGGGCTGCCCCCGCCCCGCGCCCCGGCTCTGCGCGCCCAGGCGGGGGGGTGGGCTCTTCCCGGGGGTGGGCTCTGCCGGGGGTGGGCTCTGCCGGGGGTGGGCCCGGACCTCGCACCCCGACGAACTACCCTCTGCCCTGCCGTGGCGCCCCGATGGCCGTGGGAGCGGGGGCCGCTCAAAGGTGGGCTGGGTTGGAGGAAGCGGCCTCGCAGTCGCTGCGTGGCGGGAGGCTTTAAGGCACCTGAGCCCAGCCTTCTTGGAGCTGGCGTCGCCAAAGCCCGTTTTCTCTACGTTCCGAGACCCGGGCGCCAGTTCTCCACGTTGGTACTTCAGGGGTCGTCTGGATCGTGCCTGACCCACGACCCTGCTATTCTTTTCCTTCCAGCATGATCCGCCGGGCCCCCAGCGCATCGCCTGGAAGAGCCCACTTAACCTGGACGAAGCTGTCGGCCTCCTCAGACCGCCCTTGAGGAGGATGACTGAGACACTATGGGCCACGCGCTGTGTGTCTGCTCTCGGGGAACTGTCATCATTGACAATAAGCGCTACCTCTTCATCCAGAAACTGGGGGAGGGGTGAGTGTTCGGAAATCACTTAGCTAGTCCCCAGGGTTCTGGTGATTGAAGGACAGCAGTCTGCACATGATAGGGGCACAAAAGTTTTATTCTCTTAACCTTAATCCTTTAGCTCACCTGACAGAGCCTAGTGACACGGTAGTCAAGAAAGTGGATTCTGGAGCCAGGCCTCCTGGATCCACCTTGTATGACCTTGAAAAGCCATGGTTTCTTCATCTGCTTAACGGAGATAATTGTCTTTTGTCGCTGATGGAGTTGTGAGGATTAAATGTGATAATGCGTATAAAACATCTCACCCAGTGCCTGGTTCCCAGCACTTGATAAATGTTGACTGTTACTCATGTAATATTTATGGAGCATTTGTCATGTGCAGAGCAGTGCATTGTGACCAAAGTACCTCCAGGGATTACTGTGTTCCTACTCGAGTCCAAAGTGTAAAATCTTCAGACTTCTCTTGAAGCCACATCTTGGGAGGGTTTCTGCTAACTGGGAAAGATACCCCCCTCCCCTTCTCCCCAGGGAGTTCCTCTGGGTCCAAGCCGTATGGGAGATGACTGTGGTCCTTCACTGACCCCTTTGGCCCACAGTGGGTTCAGCTATGTGGACCTAGTGGAGGGCTTACATGATGGACACTTCTACGCCCTGAAGCGGATCCTGTGTCACGAGCAGCAGGATCGGGAGGAGGCCCAACGAGAAGCAGACATGCATCGCCTCTTCCGTCACCCCAACATCCTTCGCCTTGTGGCTTCTTGTCTGAGGGAGCGGGGCACTAAACATGAGGCCTGGTTGCTGCTGCCCTTCTTCAAGGTCAGAAAGTCTCCTGGCAATGGAGGGGCTTGCAACAGAGTCATCTCCCGAGGGCTGTGTGAGTAGCCAAGCATGTTAGGAAGCAGAGACCATGACCTGGGGTTGACTGTTTCAGATTTGGGGTCTAGTGGGACTGTGAGGTGTGTAGTGTGTGTGGTGAAAGAGTTGCTAGGCTCTGACACAGGGAAGGGATCAGGCTGAGGGAGCAGAGGCTCAGAAAACATGTCCAACTATGGGGAAACTTGTGTTGCAGAGGGGTACGCTGTGGAACGAGATAGAAAGGCTGAAGGACAAAGGCAACTTCTTGACTGAAGATCAAATCCTTCAGCTGCTGCTGGGTATCTGCAGAGGCCTTGAGGCCATTCATGCCAGAGGTTTTGCCCACAGGTCAGTGGGAGGGCCCTGTGTGCTTATGGGGCAGAAAGGAAGAACCTTACCAAAAGGAATGAGAGGTCTCTGCTCTCCTCCCAAGGAACAGTCCCCATGATTCTTTTGCCCCCAGGGATTCTAGCCTCCCGATCCAGGGATGCTCATGGGTCATTTCCACTTCCCTACAGGGACCTGAAGCCCACTAATATCTTGCTTGGAGATGAGGGGCAGCCGGTTTTAATGGACTTGGGTTCCATGAATCAAGCTTGCATCCATGTGGAGGGCTCCCGCCAGGCTCTGGCCCTGCAGGTAAGAGTGTCCAGGTTCCTTTGCCCTCCTGTTCCCCATCCTCCACCTTTTCTCTTGCATTCCCCCAATTTGGTCACATAACTGTGACCTGTGCCCCTTGTTTGAACTGTTCCAGGACTGGGCAGCCCAGCGATGCACCATCTCCTACCGGGCCCCGGAGCTCTTCTCCGTGCAGAGCCACTGTGTCATCGACGAGCGGACTGACGTCTGGGTGAGGAGCGTGTGGCTGGGCACATGGGTGGGGAGGAGTGCTACTCTGTACCTGCTGCGCGGCAGAGGGGCAGGGCTTTGGGTTCGAGTGCATGGGGCCCCAGGAACCGTGTATGTCCCCATCCCCCTCGACTTCCTTCCTGGGAACTGTCGCTGACACTGTACTCAGCTGCTCAGGAAGTGGTATAATCCTGCCCTTTGAACAGAGCGAGCACAGCGAAGTGTCAGGGCTGAAGGCAGTGGCTAGGCACGGGGTGCAGAGGCCTCCAGCTAACGGGTGGTTTCTCTGGACCCTGGTGGTGTCGTGTGGCTGAAGGTCAGCATATTCTTTTTAGCTTCTGTAGTCACCTTTTAGTACAAGATTAAGAGGAGAGATACCACCTCCATTGGTCCCCTGTCAAGGAATAACCAAGTTATGCTCAGTCCTTAGGCTGCGTGCTATATGCCATGATGTTTGGGGAAGGCCCATATGACATGGTGTTCCAGAAGGGTGACAGTGTGGCCCTTGCTGTGCAGAACCAACTCAGCATCCCGCAGAGCCCCAGGTGAGCAATAGAGGGGGCACCCACCACTTCATACTCCTCCCTGACGTTAGCGGAGTTGGAACCTTGGCACGGGGAATAGGAACCCTCTGATCACCCTGCCCGCCTCCTTCCACAGGCATTCTTCAGCCTTGCGGCAGCTGCTCACCTCAATGATGACTGTAGACCCCCAGCAGCGCCCTCCCATTTCTGTCCTCCTCAGTCGGTTAGAGGCACTGCAGCCCCCAGCTTCGGGCCAGCACAGCACCCAGATCTGAACCAACCAGTGGCCACGTTGAGAAGGTGGTCCCTGTGCCTTGGAAGGAGGCTCCCGTCCCTCATTAGAATCTCCGTCCAGTCTTTCCAGGACTGCTGTCTTGTCGTTGGGGGCAGGCGGATGGGGACAGTCAACTCAGTCTTATTTCTCTGCTTCTGCTCTCTTATCTCCGAGAGCAACAGCTGGACAGAGGGACTGACTGAGTTGGGGTGGATGAGGGTGGGAGATGGGGAAAGGGAAACTGATAGAATCTAGAAAGGCTCTGAGCAGGACTGCTGAGCTTACATCATGGTCTGCCTTCACATCTGGGAGCAGGAGAATGTATAAATAGAAGAATAAAGTGAAAGCAGCTTGGTGTGGATCTTAGTCTCATTGTTCCTGGAGTGAGAAGAGGTGCCAGGGGCCCGAGGTCTGGTTGCCATTTCCAAGGGAACAGACAGGGAAGAAGGACTGGCGTAGTGAGGAATGGCATGACTTTGTCATTCTGCCTAAGGAGACAGGTGTCCTTATCTTAGATCTGGCTACCTGGAAGGAGGCAATTCTTCTCCTAGCTTGCCTTAGTCAAAAACTTAAAAGCTGTTCTGGATCGAGCCGGCTTCTCTGCTAAGAACTGGGACCAGGGCTCCCCAGAAACTTGTTCAATTTGTTTTTTCCTTCATTCCCAGGAGTGGGTAGCTGAGTCAAAGCAGCCCAGCCGGTTTGCCAGGCAAGGGCTTCTGGGTGGAGACACCTAAGGAAGCTTTTGGACAGCAACTTAACAGGTCTCTCCCAGCCTCAGCCCCGGGGGCAAGGGGAGTGGAGGTGGCAGCCATTTGGCCCACAGTTTCTCCCAGAGGGTTCTAGCTCACACATAGTTAATGATTAATGAGGCCAGTGTGGTGTGGCAGTATCCAGCTGCCACTTTCCTGCCCTACTCTGCTGAGTAAACAGGGGCCCTGCCTTTGCCGGGCTTGAGACCTGTTCCCTAGGGAAGGGCACTGTGTCCGTGAATCACCAGGGAGGGGGAGGGAAGGGCAGGGTTGACATCTTCTGCTCCGGGGATTGAAGCTTCATCCCCTGCCCCCCTTCCCCAACCAGGCTCACCCCCATGTGCCGACGTCGATGTGGGTCCTGGGGTGCCTATTAGCAATGTTGGAATTTTTCCCAGGGCCCTGGTGGGAGGCTCCCCTGGCTAGCTTAGAGGCTGAGGCCAGAAAAAAGGAACAAACAGAGGGGAGACGACCTGACTTTTAATGGCACAGCCCTAGGCCCCAGCAATGCAGCAAGAGAGACAGCTGTGCGAAGCTGCTCGGAGGTGCAATGACACAAACAACTCTAGGAGCTCGCCCTTGTCCCCTCCCATCCCCCAAGCTCATGACTAGGCTCTATGCCCAGGAACTGAGGGCCAGCCCGGCCCCGCTCCCAGGCCCTCATCACGCACAGAGGTGCCTGGGCCAAGCTTCCAGAGTCGGTGAATGCAGAAGCAGCAGGAAGAATAGGGTAACAGTCTAACTCAAATACAGAAACTGCTAGACTTAAACTCCTACTTTGGAAAGGAAGTGAAAACTTGTATCTTTCAACAGCTTGTGGCTGGACAGACAGGTCCGGGAGTCAGTCCTCATTTCCTCTCTACCATCCTGGGCGCCCCCGGGGTCTTACATCAAGATCCCCGGGGTCACGTTTCCTCAGGCCTGGCAAGGACCCCTTGGCAGGTCTCACCTTCAGCCACAGAAGGGAAAAGGGTCATAGGCAGCAAAGAATGAGGGCGGCAGCAGAAGCAGCGGGCGGCCACAGCACAGACGGGAAGGCAGCAGA